AAATGGAGGGTTTCGTGCTTCAGGAAATCCAGAGACTCAAACTTAGGGCACTCATTTTAGCACACTTTCCCCAAGTGACCTGCGACGTCCACTATGGGATCCAACTGCGAGCGCCAGACCCAGCTGTAGATGTATCCAATGAGACGCACGTTGTATAAAGAGGCAAAAGTGCTGTGAATAGCAGGGTTGCGGGAATGTTTGCAAAACGTCATGAACACTTGTGACCGCGCCTCGTGTTGCTGAACATCAAACATCCTCCTGCAACATGTTGTATAAACAAGCCAAAGTCCCGGAAACAGCAGGGTTTTGGGTTGGTTTGTGTACGTGGTCGTAACCCCCGCCCCCTCCCCCCACTCCACCGAATAGGAAAAGTGAAGAACAGCACACGGGCAAATACCAACGCTTGTGGACTTAGGGCTCATGGTAGGGTTGAGGGTTTAGGGGTTCAGGGTTTTAGGGTTGAAGGTTTAGGGGGCTTCGGGATTGGGCGTTTAGGGTCTAGGGGTTTGAGGGTTGGGGTTGAGGCTTTAGGGTTTAGGGCGGGTTTAGGGTTGCTCGGCTCTTATTTAGGAACTGAAGTTATGATACTGTTAAGGGTTTTATAAGTTTATGGTGTAGGAATATTTAGTTTCAAATTTTCATAAGAAGGATCTATAGTAAATAACAGGGCTTCCTTATCATGGTAGCTTAACATGAGTTCCTCAACAAGCACCCCGTTGCAGGTGGGATCGGCGGTCCAGCCTTGTTTGGGGTTCGTTTCTGGGGTTTCAATTGGAAGCCAGGAATTTCCATCAAAGGCGAAACATGGAGCTTTTCATAGATCTTAAGCCCTAAAGCTGAACCTCGAACCCCAAACAACGCAATAATAAGCTAAACCCCAAAGAACACATAAGGGTAATATAATAAGGGTACTTTTTTAAAGGTACTCTAACAGGATGATCTTGCATGCCCGGCCTTATCCACAATCTTGGACAAGATCTCCTCCACGTCTTCTGGTCTTGATGCTTTGCAGTCCTGCACCCTGATCTGTTTGAGCAACTCCGTCTTCTTGCGGGAAACGCAGTCCTTGCTCAGAACCTCGGTTTAGGATGTGGGTTGTTCTCTAAATTAATGTCCTTCTTCTAAGGGTGCCGTCCTCTTTTCGGGACCTAAAAAGACTCCCTAGTTTAGGGAAATACCCATGTGAGGTCTTGGCAGAGAACGGTCGTCCGAGATCTGTTGTTACTCTACCTTACATCGCAGATCATTGCAGCTGATGCAGTTCTGCCGGTTGTCAATGATAGTGTAAACAACAGGATAGGAAACATGGACAGATACTGGAGTGTCCCCTGCTTCACCACAGTCAATTACCCGCATCAGCGACTTTTCTAGGTTTGGAATGCTCAGAGTGCTGTCAATCTCTCTGCAACATTCCTGTCATAATATAATACACAATGTGAATGTATCCAATGCTGTTGAAGGTGTTCTGCGTTTCAGCAAGCGAGAGAGAGGGAAAGAACTTGCTGTGGTCTTCGTGATCCTGTCCTTCTGCGTATGCCTGCGCACACTTTCAATGTTCGACACCGCCAGTTCGCCCCAGTTCGTGCCTCGTTTTGACTTGTGATACGCAGCCGGCACTCCGGTGCTATCCATGAGAGAAAAGAGAGAGATAGAGAGGGAGAGAGAGAGCGAGAGAGGAGAGAGGAGAGCGAGAAGAGAAAGAGAAAGGAACAGAGAGAAGTTTAGACGGCCACGGCCACGGCCATCGGGCACCGTCACCGCCCAGCCCAGCCCAGATTAACATTCCAAAGAGACCGTTTCGGTCAGAACTTATTGGGCAATCTCCACACATTTCAATCTATCAGCTGTTCGACAAGACCCTAACTAAACCTAAGCCTTAAAAGGTCAACCCCCCCAAACCTCAAAACCCCGTGAACCACCTAAACATCCCTCCGCGAACCCTAAACCCTAAACCCAAAGCCCCCAAACCCTAAACCCCTAAACTCACTAAACCCCCTAGACCCTAAACTCTAAACCGTCGGTATCGAGAATCCACGAGGGATCGATGGATCTGCAGAGCCCTGGCTTCGACCAGCTCGGCCACGCACCAAGCCCTGTCGGATTCGAAGGTTAGGGTTTAGGGTTTAGGCTTTAGGGGCTTTGGGGAGGGTTTAGGGTTTGGGCTTAGGGTTTAAGGGTTTAGGGACTTTGGGTTTGGGGCTTACGGTCTACAGGGTGATAGAGCTGATAGGGTGCATAGTAATAGGGTTTATAGGGTCTATAGAACGTATAAGGTCAACAGTGCCTAGGGGCTTAGCGGTTTTCGGCTGAGGTGGTTGAAGGGCTGGTGTTCCCGGCTTCCCGAGCTTCCTGTTACGGCTTGTGTCAATTCTGCAATTATCTGGGTTGGCCTTTAAGCCCTCCGAAAAATGTTTAGATAAAGGGTCCCTTATAAACCCAAGAGGGAAATAGAAAAGCAAAAAACACCATCCGAGTTATGGTTCAGAGTACATGAGCGGACCTCTGGAATAGCTGTAGGTGCTGATCCACCGCCACGACTTGCTGGAACGAGGCCTGCTTCCTGAGGAGGGGCAGGAATCGGAGCATTCTCGTGGCTCAACTCACTTTCGGGCCTTTCTTGTTGAAAGCGTCTCTGGGTCATCTCGTGGGGACCCAGAAAGGGACCCTTATCTACAGAACCACCTGCCTTGCCGGGATGTCGGAAACAAACATGAAGGAAGCTAATGGAAATGACCAGCACTGATACGCAGAAGGACGTGGCTGGTTGCAGGGTGCAGGTCTAAGCCAGATGTTGAACCCTAAACCCTACACCGTGAACCCCTAAACCCTGCACCGTCAATTATACCCCCAACAGAACTTCAATCCTCAAGGAAAAATCTCCCGGAAGTTTCGACAAAGCCTGCAGTGGAACCTGCATCTTGGAACTCCGACCTCCCCGGCACAGAAAGGCTCTGGTGCTTCGGGTTTAAGGGTTTAGGGCTTGGGGGTTAAGGGCTTAGCGGTGTAGGGGTTGAGGAGTTTAGGGTTTGGGGCTTGGCGGTTGAGGGGTTTCGGGTTCAGGGGTTTAGGGTTGAAGATGTTTAAGGCTTAAGGCTCCTAAGCAGAATGAATGGTACAAGAAACCCTTCGACTAGGGGAATTGCGTAGTTCTCTGAATTAGTGTCCCGTTCAGGGTCCTTGTTATGAGGGTGCCGTACTATTTTGCGGGACCTATATAAAAAGGGACCCTGAGAACTACGCCTTTACCCCAAAATCAATGCAGCCCACAACTCAGGTTTCAGGGTTTAGGGGTACGGCAATATACACAGAATCTCTCAGCGACGTGCGGCGCAGCCAGATGCCGCATCATCGCGTCGAACCTAAAGACACAACTGTCAGGGCAATTAGAGCCCTGGCTGAAAGATCACGTGAGAGTCAGACCGCTCGACTCGACCAAGTATGAAATTGTGATAACCAACGAAGTGCTGCAAAGACACACAACAGAAAAACGATCGCTAAACACCAAACCTTAGACCCAAAGCCGTCCTTACGCCTTGGACAGCGGTCCCGAGAGAGCTGTAACTGCTGTCGTTACTGGGGTCGGGAGTAGGCCTGGTCCGAAAAATCCGGGAAGTTTGGGTATCCTCGAGATACCCCAGAGACACCTTCGAGATACCCGAAATCTACATAGGAAGGCATGCATGCCCATTCTGTAAAGATCTGTGCTGTGCTTACAAGTGAGAAGCATCGTGAGGAGGAGCAGCGTAGTAGTACTAGTATTCGTAGCAGTATACATACTGCCATACAAACCCAGAGCGCCTGCCATGTCACGATAACTAGGGGTAACTAAGTAAAGATATACCACATTGACATAGTGGCATAACGTATGAAACACGAGTGTGTGTAAGCCCCGAAACAGAAACCCGGCCCAACCAATCAAGGAAGGCCCAGGAATGCACACGAACCCCTGAAGGAACCCTCGTGAACCTTGGTAAAATTCTTACAATGAAGGAATCATTGTAAACTCTGGTTACAACAATGTGCAGATTGGGCTTCTGACTCGCCAGAAGTCCAAGGAGACTCCGCCAAAAAGCGTGAACTCTAGTTCACAAAGTGCCCAAAATATGCTGGGGTTCAAGCTTTCGGTTGTCTTTTATTGTCCAGGTTTAGGGTGTAAGGTTTATGGGCTTCTCAATACCTTATTATAGTTACGCACAAGCATCAGCAGAGTGAAGGGTATGGGCTAGACCTCGGAAGGAGGGTTTGGGACTGGAGACTTGGAACCATAAAGCTCTAAACCCTAAACCTCTAAACCCCGAGCCGTTTGTTCGGAATGGGAAGGTAGAACTGTATGAGGAAAAGAAAAGGCCAAGGAACTTGTTCAGCTCGCAAAGATCCCTGGTGTTGTTGAAATACTTCGGAGTTCGACACTTGCCTGGGCTTTTTTTCATCTGCGGCTTAGGGTTATGGAGTTTAAGGTTTGGGATTTAGAGATTTGGGAGAATAGGCTTTAAGGCTGTGGGATTGACATGCTTGGGGTTTGGGCTTCGTGAAGTTAGCGGCTGGAATAGTTGGAGCAATAGTATCCCGATTTTGTGCGTGATATGGTTAGTTCTCTAAATCAGGGTCCCGGTTTAGATCCCCGCATAGTACGGCCCTTATGAAAAGACTCCCAGTTTAGAGAACTACCCAAATGACTCCCAAAAAATGCACCCCAAAGACCTGCTCGAGGTAATGCAGGGGCCTTAATAATTAGAATAGGGTTTTGGGCACCAGGAACCCACAGGAATAATATATGTATTTCTTTCGGCCCCTATATTCGTAAGGCATTCACGGGTACAGAGGTGGAGGCTCCCGAGGCGTTAGGGCTTCCGAGGATCTGGTGGGGTCTTGGGGCATGTTTAGTACAAACATATCAAGGAAGCCTCGAGGAATTACTATCTAATCTAGCTTCTATCACTTCAGAAGTTCACTCCTGTTCTGAGTTCTCTAAGCCTAAATGCTAAACACAACAGAAGCCCTTAACAGTCAAGGGTTTACCCTTCTGCTTCGTGTCCCCGGATGGGCTGAATGTTTCGAGAACGAATCATGGTTCATCAGGGCTTAAGATACGGGCCTTAATAATTCAGATACGGTTTTGGGGATACTATAGCATCATCAATACGGAGCCCTACAAAATAATATGACTAAGACTAACTGTTCCTACCCCCATAGTAGGGTTGAGGAAGCTTAGGGTTTAGAAACCCTAAACCTTCCGGGAAAGCTGCAGGTGGAGTAGATCTGTGTGGTCACTGTGTCGCGTCGCTTCCTGTCCTTGCATGGTCACAACCGGAAGCCCCAAACACCTAAAAACCCTAAACCCCAATCCCTGAGCCCTAAATCCTCAGCCCTCCGCATATAAGAACCGCAAGAAGGACACAAGAAGAAGACCAACCCCAAAGCACCTCGGGTTTCGGATGTTAGGCTGAGGGCTCAGGGTAGCGGTCCCCTGAGAGATGTTACCCTTAGCGGCCAAAAGTAATCCTAAACCCCAAACCCTAAACCTTCATCACTAAGATTTAGACAGCCCGGGATCCCCAGATTTGGGATCAAATCGGAAGTGCTGACAGTCTCAAAAGTGTTCCCATCATCGTGTTTGTTTAAGCGCGGGAGCTGCATGCACAGCTGGCAGCACCCTTCCTGCTCGTGTGGTGTGCTTGCAATGTCCAGCATACCCTAAGTATACACATGTATACGAGACGGAACTTGCCCAGTTTCTTCTTCATGCTGACTCTGAGAGAGATTCATACAGATAATTGGAGTAGGGTTCCTTTGAGGGGTTCTATATAGGGCTTAGTTTAAATGGTATTATAGGGGGTTCAGTGTAGGGGCCTTAATATAGGGTTTCTGGGGCTCCTGTATGGTGCCAGAATGATCAGGAGCTACCAATAATAATGTTGGTCGCTGTTTAGGCTTCTACAGCAATTGTCAAGCATATGAGCATATGTGTTGCTGCTTGTGGTGATTAATTACTCTCAGTGGTGATTAGGCCGATGATCGTAGTTGCTAGTAAGCAGTCACCAAGGCTCAGACGGTCACAAAAGCAAACATAACAGTGAATCTCCAAGTATCTCAACTCGTAAAGCCCCAAAGCAACACTACTCCGTCTACTCCCATGCGCACTCCAACTCCTTCCAACTTACCGCAAAGTGTCGTAGACCGCGTGCTCCGGTGTGTGGGCAGGAGGTTCTGGGCCGAATCCGCTGCAAATGCCTAGCGGACGCTCTTCTGGCGAAAGGAACTGATCACGGCAATCAAAGTAAACCGGCAGTTGTCGCAAATACCATGCGATGAAGATACTGGGACGACAACAGTCACGCAAGACAAGACCACATCAACAGCAAAGCAGCAGCAGAGGCCACAGAAGCCGGGGCACCGACAACAGCTACCAGCCCCCGGGGTAACAGCTTAATCTGAAGATTTGCTTCCCGAAGCCCTAAACCCTGAATCATACTCTACGAGTTCAGAGGTCTGCAGCAAGAGCTTCACGAAGTCGAAGGAGGCTTATGGTCGAAACATTCCGGAACAGTTTTGGCTCAGGGGTCAGTCGTGTCAGTGTCGGGGCTTCAATCTTGATGTGCGAGCGTTCCTGGGTTTCAGGGCCACTCTGGATTCGGGGAGCTTACTTGTGACTGTCAGTCTTTGCAAACTGACAAAGGCTGTTGCAGCCAAGCTGCTTGCGTGCTGATTGATGGAGAAAGCACAAATCCTCATGGCGCGAAAGGACAGTGTTGCATCAAGTTTGCAAGAGACTGCTCTCGACCCATTCTGATCAGGGGCACCACTCTCGACTTGGCTCTGCATCCTAAACGATTTGAAGTCTTGGCGGGTGCCGAGCCCCTTCCCGCACCAGCTCCCCGAATCCACAACCCACACAGAAGGTTTTGCAGACGTGGGACCCGGAACCCTAAACCCTAAACCGTACCTCGAACCCTAGAAAAGCTCGAGCCCCTAAGGCCAGCCCCAAAACAAAAACGCATCGCCAGCCAGAGAGCCAGATGCGAAGATCTGAGCACTTCGCCTGCCCACACGAGTCGGCTCGGCAGACCCACATCGAACCGCATCATCCATGCAAGACCCTTATGCAACCCTACGAAGACCCTAGATTCCTTAGCTGGGGCGACCGGGCCTCGATACACCGATTCTTCAGAGCCTGGATGCCCCGGGTGTTTTCCATCACCCGCAGAACCTGCTCCTGGATGAGGCGCCCGAAGTCGGATTTTTTGGGGGTTAGGGGGGCTCGCGAACAGTCAAAGCCTCTTTTGTTAGGCCCTGATTGGCGTGGCCTCCCCCAAACCCAAAAAAGTGACTCGACAATGCTGCGTCCGGGGGCGGGCTGCGCTGGGGAATAGTGTCTGCAATAACAGTAGTGGTAATGGGGCTTCAGCTGCTCTGCCCAGATGCCTCAACAGAACTTTGTACTTTGGCGTCCCCACCAAAAGGAATTCATGGCCGCACAAAGTTTGCAGCGATGGGGTAAGTATCCCTATGTTTAGTTTAAGGCTGGAGATGATCCGTTCTGTAATTTCGGAAGCTCTGCTTCCAAAAGATAGGCCCTGACAAGCTTTTCAGTACAGTGTCCCCCGATAAAGAGTTTAGGGGGGCAATAAGGGCGGGCACCTTGCTTTATAGGGCCCCCACCCACATAAATCAGGCGTGCACCTTACGTCAGCATCACACCTGGCTTAGAAACCCAGGTGCGAAAGTACAGGTCGCGTCGGAAGCAGCCGAAACCCTCAAGATTCGGTACCCTGAACCCTAAATCTCTCAACTTGATGTTGGCAGGGGGTCTGCATAGTGGACGCAATCCGAAAGCTGTCCGCGCGACTCCCAAATCTGCTGGAACGAGCTCTGCATCCTAAACGAAACATGGGCTTAGGGTTTATAATATTTAGGGAAGAGCCAACCGGCCTAGACAGAGAGAATCAACGGAGACAGAGTACCCTAGACCCTAAACTCTAAACCCTAAGCTTAATCAGGACTTCTTCGGCGCCTGTGCTCGGAAGAAAACAAGTAAATTCTAGGCTAGGGGGTTCAGGATTTAGGGGATTGCGGGTACTTTTTTCCACCCCTGTTTGAGAGCTGTTGCATTGCTCGCACTGTGGCTCTGAGTTAGGTTCCTTTCGTGGCCAGTACGATCATTACAGCTAAGGTTGCGTTGTGGGTTAAGGGTTTGGGATACTTGACAACCAAGCTTCGAAGGTGCAATGACCCAGCGCAGCTGCAACGGTTGCTGCCACCAGATGCGAAAAGAGGTTGTCCCAGTTGTGGGTGATCATGACCTGCTAAACTGTAGTATGTTATGGCGTAATTTTCAATATAATAAGTAATACTAAGTATGCAGGCCTCTTTCTGGCAGCCAAAGTGGGAGGGGATAGTTGAGTTTTGGAGGTCGGGAGGGCACGCAAAAAAGCTGGCGATGCAAGGCAGGAATGCCCCTCACGCTGCAATGATTGGGCTTAGGTGGCTCAGACTTTAGGGTCTAGGGTTCCCCAACCCCCCCAAATCTTCAAATCTGAGACCTCAACTCCTAAACCCTAAACCCTCTTCAGTCTTCGGACCACAAAACTCTCAACCGCTTTCCTCCCCCCCTTTCCCCACACCTCGGCTTCCTTGGCCTCAGCTTCCATGCAGGAGGCCAGGGCGCGTCCCAGTTCGTTCACAGCGTGACTGTCTCCTTCTTACATAAGGCGGCTCTTCGGGGAAGACCGAGGCTCCGGACTGGACTTAGGGTTTAGGGTTTCAGGTTTAGGGTTTAGGGGTTGGGTGTTTTCGGTGGGGGGGGGGCGGTTCCGGGAGGAACTGATCGGCTTACGGTTCAGGGCCTATGGTTTAAGGGATCTTTATTTTTCCGGCGTAGGAAATTTCAGGGTTTAAGGGCCTCAGGGGTCATGGGGGCTGGGATCTCAGGGCTTATGGGATTTAGAGCCCTTCCTGGCCGAGGGACTTTGCAGCTTAGGTCTTCAAGTGGTGGGGTGTGTTTAATGTAGAAGCCTTAATAATTAAAATAGGGCTTTGGGGCCCATGATACTCTAATTACAATAAGGAACCCCAAAATAGTATAGGTGTATATTATGCTATGACTACGGTCGATGGACAAAATCCTGCATGACCTTATATACCTAAACTGTGGGATTTATGGTACTGTACTATATTTGGGTCATGCAGAATTTTGTCCATCAACCCTAAACCCTAAACCTATCATACGCAACCCCGCAAAATAGTAGATCGGCGTCAAGCCTAGGGGCACCGAGCCGAAGATCCGCGAGTCCGGTTTGTGACGATGGGGGGTGGTTTAGGGTTTGGGTTTATAGGGCTTAGGGTTTATGGGGTTTATAGGGTT